AGCATATTGCCAAAAGCTGAAAAAGAGAGAAGAAAGAAAATTGTGACATTTATTGAGCAACAAGAGGATCAAACTGAGAAAATTGAGTTTTTATCATGAAAACTCTCTTCTTGTCAGGATTCCGACTATTCATCAAACAAAATTAAATTAGTGCTTTAACAGTATCACTTAAAAAATTTGCAAAAGAAGTTGCAATTACAGGTGTTTTAAATAATATTTCACCTAGAAATATGATGCACTTGCTTTCTGACATATTAGTTACTTCTGGGGGCAGTTTGACAGATTTCTAAATCTACTATCAGACGTGCAAAGAAAGTACAAGTATAAAAAAGAAAGTACAAGTGCAGCTAAATATTGAGAAGAATAAAAGCTGCAAGTCAAAGTAAATTTCCAATAATTGACAACTTTGATGAAAATATTTTGCAAGATATTACTAATGGTACAAAATAAAAAAGAGATTGTTTTGTTGTTCTTGTAAACATCGATGATGATTTAAGACTTCTTGGCATTCCGCCAATGGAAAACGGTGCTGGAAAAACTCATCATGATACTGTGATAAACATTTTGGATGAGTATAAGCTAAGAATTTATATAAAGGGTCTGTGCTTTGACACAACTGCAACAAATACAGGAAAATATTCCGGCACAAACATTAGGTTTTGTCAAACACAGGGTTCAATTATATTACAGCTTGCATGTCAAAGACATATTTACAAGCTTCACTGTAAACATTTTTGGAAAAAGTTCACATTGGTAAAATTTATGCTCCTGAAAATCTGATGTTCAAAGTTTTCCAAGCTAATTGGAACGCAACAAAGGAAACTATGGATAAAAGTTTGGCAAAGCTGCAGTTAAAGTAACGTATCAAGAAAAACAGATAGAAAAAACTGTTCAATTTTGCAAATATGTACCTGCCAATTTAGTATTTCCAAGAGGTGATTATAAAGAACTAGTAGAGCTTACACTCACCTAATTATGTCTAGATGTAAGCTTTAATGTTTATGCTCCTGGATCAGTTTCTCATGTTCGTTTTATGGCAAAGGCTATATATTATCATAAAATTCAAATTTTAAGTAATCAGTTGCCCTACCATATAAAAGCTTATTTACTAGAAGAAATCAGTAAAATTACAGAATTTATTTCTATATTTTATACTGTGTGGTTTGTGCGTTCCTCTTTAGTTTCCTCTGCACCTTATCAAAATTTAAATGCGTACTGATGGTCCAGTATAAATGTTGGGTAGAATCGTATGATCAAGGAGCTAATGATGTACTAGAGGGAATTGAAGAAGTATTAACATCAATGGAGAAACATATGTGGTATTTGCATCAATCCTTGATTCCATTATGTCTTGCAGATAAAAATGATGAGAAAGAAAAAGTTGCAAAAGTTCTTTTCTCGCAACCTGTTCCTACTCACTATGAGAAGTCTGAAAATCCAATCCTTCTGAAAGATCTAGACTTTACCCAGGAGAAAACACCTAGCTTGTCACAGTTGGTTGGTAGGAACTCGTGGTTTATTTTAAGTCTCTTAAACTTGTGTAAAGGCAATGATAAACCTTGGCTGAATTGTCCTTCATCTTTTTGGGGCTATTTCGACCAATTTAAAACTTTCATTGAATTTGTTTACCCAATATGTTATCAACGAGTGCTCTGAACAAGCAATTAGGCTTGTGTCAGAGCTTGTTAATTCTGTTTGCAATAAAGAGGACAAGCAAGATTTAATGTTGGCCACTCAGCATAGTAGGGATCAATTTAGGGAGTTTTAAAAAGTACAAACTACAGAGAGTGCCAATAGTTTGGAGATTATTTATTCAATTTTTCACCAAAAACACGAAAAAAAGTTTGTTGAGTTATAGTTTTACAAACTGTTTTTGATGAAAACTTTTTCTTGATTATTTACTAATTTATTTCTGCTGACCTTAACAATATCGTTATATATTTTTTTTTAGCATAAAATTTATACTTTTATCTTAACTATCCCCAATTTTATTTTGGTGAATTTGATATTTACCAAAATTTTTTTTTTTTTTTTTTTTTTTTATTTGCATTCACTTCCAACAAGACTGCAAGCAGCCACTATTAAGTTGGGAGTTACTAGGAAAAAAAAGAACAGAGTTATAGAACAAGGAAACGGTTGACAGAAGACTTGAAAAGTTGAAGGTTGTATGAGTCAGGAAAACATGAAGATGGGAGAGAGTTCCAAAGGATTGAAGTGCGGGGAAAAAAACTAGATGAATAAAAGTTTTTAGAGCATGCAGGGACAGATACAGTAAATGAATGAGACTTAGCTGAATGACGAGTAAAACGAGAATGAATTTTAGTTGATGGAACTAGAGATGATAACTCCTTTGAGCAGTGACCATGGTAGTATTTGTAGAAAAGAAAGATGCAACTTTACGACGATGGGAAAGAGGTTCAAGCTTAGCAGATAGTCCAGGTCTAACAACATTTACAATGCGTTTTTGGACCTTGTCAAGTAGAGAATGTGAATTGTTAGAAGAACCAGCCCAAATATGACAACAGTATTCCATACAGGGGGGAATAAGAGATTTGTAGAGGTAGAGAATGGAATCAGAAGTAAAGAAATGGCACGCACGATAAAGAGAAGCAACCTTAGCAGAATCTAAAAAAAAAGTCTTTAGAGCCTAACTTCTGCGAGATTTAGTGAACTGAGAATAATGGAGTTTAGCATCAGAAAGCACCTTTTTACATTGATTTCTTGCAATAATAAATAGCTGTTTGTTCTCAAGAGAGTTGTTCTTTTGAAAAAGATGAAAAAAATGATTACGATTGGATATAGCAGCCGCACAAGAAGGAGAAAACCATGGAGTAGAATGAGGCTTGACTTGAAACCGACGCGAAGGAATAAAAATGTTTAAAATAAAATTGTTTCATAAAACGCTTATTTTGCAGCACTTATATGAAAATCTAATCAAACCATATGTAAAAACAAAACTTTCAGGCAATGTATATATATATATATAATATATATATATATATATATATATATATATATATATATATATATATATATATATATATATATATATATATATATATATATCTAGCGTGGTCATATCGTTAATTTGTTTACATTTTTAAATTTAGATTGTAATGGTGGATGCACTGGTCAGTTTACAGCCTGTGTCAATAATGTATGTCAGTGTCAGGGAAACTATTCTTCGATTAATGGAACATGCACTGGTTTGTATTTTTTTTTTTTTAAGCTACATTGTATTAGTAGACTTTTGTTTAAGTTTCTGTACATAATAACTGTGGTTTTGTATCTTTTTTCTTTTTTCTTTTTTTTGTGGCTTATATGCCTACGTTAATAAAGCAGGCTTTTTTTCTGCCAACTTTCTTGGTATTTTCCACTTGTTGATTACATTGCACATTAAAATTAATTAATTTGCAGGTTCATTACTTAAGGCATCAATTGATAAATTTACAACTACCTGCTATTCTTTCAGACAACTATTTTTTTAACAAAAAATTGTCAATGATGTCAAATGTTAAATGTCATGTATGTTTTATGCACTATATACCAAAAAGAATATTTAGCATTAAAATTTTTAATTTCATTTAGGCAATTGGGGTGATTGGGTCAACGGAACATGTTCACAACCCTGTGGTAATGGATTTATGACTCGCAATCGAACCTGTATTAATGGCCTTCAATGTATTACTGGTGGGGTGTACAAGTCAGTTCAAATACAGAATAACATCAATTGCAACTTAAAACCCTGCGGTATTTTTTTTTTTTTTAATATTTTATCTTAAATGAATTATATATGTATAATGGACATATATTTATTGGTAACAGACCTTTTAAAAGTTAATATATACCAAATAATAATATAATATATACTATTACATATACCAAATATTACTATTATTATTACTAGTTAATAAATACCACATACTATTTATAATATATATAATATAGCATATATAATATATACTATTGAAATAACTTTAAATCAATTTTATTTTTTTAATTATCACGTAAATGATAAGTATATTATTAAAACTTATTGAAAAAAAAATTTTGTAAAAAAAATGGGTAAAAATGCACTTTTTTTTATTTTTAGTTGATAAATTTCATAGTTTATGCTGTTAAATCTAACATATTTATTATTATATAATATAGCTATGAATTTTGAAATTCTCATTAGATTTCACTTCATTTGAGAGTCATCATAATAAACTTTTGAATTTTTTTTTTATATTGTTAGGAACTCGTTATAGGATCAAGGGTTTTGAAGGACCCCTAAAAATAATTTTATTAAAAAAATTTTTAAAACCCGTGTTTTTTTTATCATAAAAAACTCAAAATATATATATATATATATATATATATATATATATATACATATATATATATATATATATATATATATATATATATATATATATATATATATATATATATATATATATATATATATATATATATATATATATATATATATATATATATATATATACATTAATGAATGTCAAGCAAACTATTCTTTTCTTAATCTTTTTTCTTTTTTTTTTGGCTAATTTTTGTCTCCATTAATATAGCAGGACTTTTTTTTGCTTATATGTCTCCATTAATATAGCAGGACTTATTTTTGCAGTAAAAATTTGAAGTAAATTTGTTTAATTTGTTTTTAATTTGTAGATTTCTTCTGATAACTGCTTAAGTTTATTTACGCTTGTCTACATATTAAATTGGTATTGTTTTGCTAAATCTCTATCTTATTGATAACATTCAGTCTTTCACAGGAAGGCGTGCGATTGCACATCTTTATATGACCATTAAATCTTTCTATGCCAATTAGACCGCGCTTATTTCATAAAACATTTTAAAAACTCGTTAACTAAAAAATATTCTGAAAAAGTGAAATTAATTACATCAAAACTTCATAATAAATGTTTTTATATTAGAGAAACGTTTTTAAATAAAGTAACAATTTACTGATAATGTTTTTTTTTTTAATATAATGTATATATTTTTTTCATTTATAATTTATAAATTGTCGCGCATTTCTATAATAAATGTGTGTTTAACGTGTGTTATAAATAAAAGTGTACATTTTAAAATAATTGGTATTAAAAAATAAAAAATTGTTTTGTTTTTATAAACAATGACATTCTATGACAACAAAAGTCTTTAACAAATTTCAATATAAGAATAATTAAAGTTAGTACATTTAAAAAGATAAACAAAATTTTGTTTAAGATTAAAAAAAAAAAAAAAATGTTTTAGAAAGCCATTACAATTAAATAAGTTTGATCTTAAATGCTTTTATATTATCGAAACGCTTTTTAATGAAGTAACAAAACACTTCTGATGAATTTTTAAAATAAGTATTAATAAACTGTTGTTTTTTTTATTTATATAATTATGCATTTTTTATGATAAATGTTAATCTTTAGAAATAAATTTAAAAAAAAAAAAAAATTACAAATGTTAAAAATGTTAAAACAAAGAATGAAATGGTTTTTTAATGCGTAAAATAAATGGACTAAGTATTTTAGCTTGATAAGTTTTGTTTTAGTTGGGTTATTTTTTTATATTTTTTCTTTCGTTAAAATTTTTTTGTCTTTTTTAAAGTTTTTTTTAGATAAGTTTATGTAAATTTTTGTAGCGCATTTTAAAATTTTTAAATTATGTCAAAAGCCGTGGTCAAATTGTCAAAATAAATTATTATTTGCATGGTCATATAAAGGCATGTGATTGCACGTGATCCTGTAAAATACTGATAACAATGCACATCAAAATAACAATTTGTTAGTTTAGTTAGAGTATTGAATAATAAATTCAAAACTACCTCTTATCCATTCAGTTCTGTTATCCTGATAACTTTGTTAGGAGTCAATTAAGTTTTTCGCAGTATATGCTATAAAGAAATTATGACATCAAAATTTACACAATGTTTAAATATATGACATCAAAAATGTTTAAAGCTGTAACAGGTTATTGTGTGTTGTTTTAAATATATGCAGGCAAAATAGAAACTTCTAATGGAGTAAGACAATTTTTTTTTGATTTTTTTTAACCCTCTCAGATAAAGTTTTCATGTTTTTTAAGTAAATTTAAAGCTCTAAATATACATGTAGATCAGTATATACAAATTCTATATGAAAAGTATATGAAAAGATCCTAAAAAAATTTAATTGAACAATCAAGTATAAGAAAATAAATATCCTGGAATCTAATAACATTCTTAATGCAAAATGCTTATGCTATATCCTCCATCTAAAACACCAATTTTCAAGGTATTGATTATTGTAGTTGCTTAAGATTCTCTTAAGAAACCTCAGATAGTAGCTAGTTTAATGCATTTATGAATGGAGTAGATAGATGCTTTTCTTACTACTTTTTTGCTTAAAAATCCATTCAGTGAAATATTGATCAATAGTCAGCAATGTCATTTATATAGTTTGCTTTGTATTGTAAACACTAAAGTTAGCTTGAGTTAAACTTTTTACTGCCAGTGAAGAACCCAGAGTTTATTTAGGGATACCAATTTTTTTTTTCCGGCTACGTTGAAGGAGGGGGGGGGGAGTGATGTTTGACCTCTTCCTCCCCTAGTTAAACAGGTGCCGCAACAATAATTTTTAATAATCATTTTTTCAATAATCATTTATGTTTACCTTGTTTAGTAGCATTAGTAGTATAAAGAGTTGATTTGAAGGCATTTTTTTTGAATACATGAGTTTACTGGTGGACGATGTTACTTTAGATTTAATAAGAAAGCTATTTTACTTAAGACTTTAATAAACGCTTTTGATGCAAATACCAGGCTAACAGTAAATAATTATTAAAAATTGTTTAAAGTATTTTAAACATTTATTAACTATATTTTCGTAAATTTAATTTTAGTAGTTATTAATATTATAAATAATTAGTAATTATATGTTCAAATATTTTAAACATTTTTTAATCAATATTTACATTACATAATATATTTACATATATTAAATTGCGTAATATTTGTAAAATTAACAAATTAGTTTTATGTGTTGTATTTGAATTAAAAATATAAGCATTTAATAATCAAATTTGATAAGCATTAAATAAATGTATTTAATAAACTATTTGAATATATAAACATGAGCATTTAATAAACTTATTTACTGTTATTTTAATTTTAAAATTTTGATTTGAATATTAGCAAACTTATTCATTTAACTTCATATAACTTCATATAACATCATAACTTCATATAACATCATAACTTATTTATTTAACTTCATTCATTTGCATCTAAATGTTAATAATTTTTAAAGTGATTTTTAAGTGAAAGCACCTTTTAAGTTAAAGATAATTAAAGAAGAGATTAAGAGGTAAACATAATTTTAAATAATTTGATTAACTTTTTTGATTAAAAAGCATATTATATTTTAAAAAACATATTTTTTTTAAAATATATTTTTTTAATCATTAACTATAATTTTAAAAAATTACATTTACTATAATTTAAAAAAATTACGTATAAATTTCATTTACTATGAGTTATTTTAAACAGATTTTATTAAAATTTTTATTAAGTTATTGAAATCTTTATTTTTATTATTTCAAAAGTCAAAAAGAATATCGAAGAGAAACAAAACTTTCTGAAAAAGTTTACGGTTCGTTTTTTCGTTTTTCTCACGTAAATTAAAGTAGCCAAAAGTTCATTCTTTCAAAAATTAAGCTTGCGCAACAGTTACTACAGTTAGTAACCAAAGGCCAATTACGTCACGTAGTTATGTAAAAAAGTTTTTACATTTTCTTTTTAATTCATTTTATTGTCCTGAAGAAAAAATGAGGTAGGGGGCTGTCCATTAATTACGTCAACAAAATAGGGGGGAGGGGGGTCTGAATTTTTTTGAAAATTGTTGAGAAGGAGGAGGGGGGGGTGGAGGTCAAGAAAAGTTGACGTCAATACTTTATTTTTTTTTTGAATATGTTACTTTTTTTATAAATTTAACTATTCAAAAAAAGGAAAATTAGGCAGCCTTTGCAGTTCTGTGTTACATAGTCGCTCAACCTTCAGTATTTTAATTCATATAATTTATATTCTTACTTTTTAAAAACCGTTCTGTGCTTTAAAAAGACCCGATATACAGAACTAAATAACTACTCACAAGTCTCATAACGCTATTATTTTTTCAAAGTTATTGTTGTCTCAGTCTGCTGTGCATTCAAAAAAGATTCATGTAACTTACATTGTAAGTACATTGTCTACATTACATTGTTTAAACGTTTATACAAGGGGTACAATCGCAGCTCGTAAGCCTCTTGTGAATTTTTCAATGTCAATATGAAGCTCTTTAGCTGCATCTTGACATCGAAATATTATTATCTTGACATGCACAAATATTAGTATAATCAGGGATGCGGAGTCCCAAAGGACTCCGGTTTTATATCTCTATTTTTTACTGGTTTCTAATGTCCAAAAGCTCTGAACATGTTGTTTGATTTATGATCTGCTAAATAAAAAAGAAATAAAATATAATGACTTGAAACATGTTGTTTTTAAGCCCAGAGTCATAGAGTCCTAGCCGCCATTATACCAATGGACTACGGTTCAAAAAGAGATTGTTCCTCTAACCTAAAATCTTAACTTTTTTACCAATAGTAATCCATAAGCGTTTTTATATTATCAGAGCTCCTGGATACCAAAAACTAGGAAGAAGTAATCTTTTTGATTAAATGTTGATGTAATTTTATAGGGGCGTCACTGAAAGTTTGACAAGGGAGAGGGGGAGGTAAAAATTGCCAAAAAACTGTTGACGTAATTAATCGACAGCCCCTAGCTAAATTTTTTTTTCTATTTTTCATGAAAAAGCAAAAGGAAAATTAAAAATAATTTTTGGGCGCTTTTTTTTGGGCGCCCATACTGGTCAAACGGTACTAAAACAAGTCTGGGTACTTCACTGACTGCTTACAATGTTTAAACTTTTTACTGTTTACAATATTTAAACTTTAGCACTAAATTTAATACTAATTTAATATTAAATAAAAATTTAAGCAGTAGCATTGCACCAGTTAAATTCAATTTAAATTCAAATCAAATATTTGAAAAATAAGCATTAGTATACCATTGTTACCAAGTGTTAACCATTAAAATTGCACTAAAAAGTACCATATTAATTTAAATTGTAGCATGGTATCAGTTGAAAAGCTAAATAAATAAATATATAAAAAAATAAAGCTAAATAAATAAATATATATAAAAAAAATAGAGCTAAATAAATAATAGTATACCATTAAACATGCACTAAAAAGCACCCTATTAATTTAAATTGTAGCATTGAATCAGTTGAAAAGCTGAATACATAAACTTATAAAAAAAAAAAGGCTAAATAAATAAATATATATATAAAAATAGAGCTAAATAAATAATAGTATACCATGAAACATGCACTAAAAAGCTCTTTAATGTCTATTGAGCTATTGCCTCCTTTTATGATCCTAATGAATTGATCATGGTCTTGGTCTATCGTATAAATGAAAAAGGGTGTATTTTCTAAAATAAAAAGAAATTTTTGTAGAACTTGGTGTAAACCTTAAAATGTCTATGAGAAGCATCATTACTTTAGCATTCAGCTTGTTCATTAAATTATTGAGCAAAACAGAAATCTTGTTTCCTTTTTGTCTTTAAATGAAAATCACGAAACTTCCCAAGAAACTGTTTCTTCTTGTTCCAATTTGCTTTGTAAAACTTTAAACTGCAGCTTCTATTTTTGTTTTCTTATTAATCTAGATTGTAATATTGGTTATGTACGCAATTCTACAACGCAACTTTGTCAACGTGATTCAAGTAAAAGTTTTTATTTATTCATCAAACTTTAATATTACTTTTAAACAACTTAACACTGCAATGATTTTAAAATTACTTAATAAAAAAAACTTTATTAAATGTTGTTTATAATGTACTTACTTGTACTTTGAATTCACGGTTTTAGATTGGACTGCAATCAGTGATTGCAATGCAGTATGCAATGGAAATCAAACATTTCAATATAATAATGTTCCATTTACAGTAGTTGATGAGCCCTGTAGTTTGTGTCAAGGTATATTTAATACTGAAATGAAATAAAAAGTTCATAAAAAAATTCCAAAAATAATTTTAAATTATTTAATAAATTAGAATCTTGTTTTATTGATCTCACTAAATTATTTTTTAAATATGCAGATTAGTACATAGTAAAAACAATGAGTTCTGTTATAAGTTTAATAGTATATTAAAATACAAAAAGATATTCTATTATATTAGAAACTATCAACACAATATTTAAAGTTGGTTGTATGTTATCAAAAGTATTATATAAGTTAGCAATGGTAAGTTAAGTTAGTTGTTTAAACTTTTCCATTTAATTTTAGGTTATTGTGGAGTAAACTCTACATGTTTATGTTCTAATGATGCCCAATATGCTGATAATAATGGGGTTTGCCAAAATTGTATGTTTTGTTGATTTTAATTTTTTTCTTTGGTTTGTTTAATGTATAGTTTTTATTAATTAATAAATTAATTTAATAAATTTTATTTATAATTTTAAATTAGATGTTTTGAAATTAGTTATATCTAGTTATTTTTATGGCTATTTTTCTGTCAAAAAAAAATAACCATAAAAATAAAAAACCAGCATTAGATACTTGTTGTTACATTATTATGTTTACATCTGCAGAATCAGTTCTAAACTATTTAAAACCGCTTTAAAGTTTTACTTTCTTTAAAACATTTTAAATAATCTTGAGACATTGTGTATGACATCTTGTAAGAGAGTACAAACATGAAGAGCAGCACACCAAGGACACAAAGTAACAACAACACATAGTGCATAACAATTATTTAAATTAATTTAATAGTATCTAGGATTCATAGTACATTTAAGAACTTTAGTGTAAAGGCGAGTTTTCACTAATCCATTTTTCTATGGAAACGGGATAGGAAAGGAAAAAATAATCATGTGAGCATGCGTAATAAAAGTTTTTATTTGTCCAAAAGAAAACTGCGCATGCTCACGTGATTATTTTTCCGTTCCCTTTCCCGTAGAAAAATGGATGAGTGGAAACTCATCCATTTTTCTATATATATATATATATATATATATATATATATATATATATATATATATATATATATATATATATATATATATATATATATATATATATATATATATATATATATATATATATATATATATATATATATATATATATATATATATATATATATATATATATATATATATATATATATATAAAGGCTATTCTAGACCGTTTTCTATATTGTAGACCGTATTTGGACGCCAATTTAGCACCCAAATACGGTTGCCCAAATTAAAATTAGAGGACTTTTTTTTCTTTATGCTTTTTTTTTACTAGATCAGGTCCTGATATATATATATATATATATATATATATATATATATATATATATATATATATATATATATATATATATATATATATATATATATATATATATATATATATATATATATATATGTATATATATATATATATATATATATATATATATATATATATATATATATATATATATATATATATATATATATATATATATATATATATGTATATGTATATATTTATATGTATATATATATATGTATATATATATATGTATATATATATGTATATATATATATATATATATATATATATATATATATATATATATATATATATATATATATATATATATATATACCATGTGGGTTTTTAAAATTTACCCATAGTATCAATAAATAAAATACCATATAAAGTACCCATATTATCAATACAGCAATCAGTTAGATATCAGGAATAAAATATTATTAAGAAAATTACAATAGAAGGTGAAAACATTCTTTTGAAAGAGCAAGCTCGTTCTTTGATTCCCAATAAGAAGGTTACCGTAAAGTGAAGTCATTTGAGTTTCAATGCTAGTACTGTTGTCAATAATGTTTATTGAATTTAAAAATGGTGTTGATAAGTATATCAAAAATCATCCATGGATTATGATGAAACAGCATTAAATGATAGATATTTATATAGTAGTTTGTTTATTGGTTTCCTATCCATGTAAAACTTCACTGCTTCAATGCCTTCGCTGTATGGAATATTTAAGTAAACTGCAGTAACATCCGCAGCAATGAACATAAAGTATAGCCAAGCAAAAATGTATTGTTCAAGGATGGCAAGGAAATGATTTTGTGTCTATCAGGGGGCACAACCCCTTTTAAAAAAGTAAACTGTTAAAAAAATATGTTCACAAAAACATTTAATTCATTTATCGTAGAAACTGTTGACAATACTTATTCCTTCCAAATAAATACTGAAGTTGGTCAAAATTTCATTTATTTAAATGTTTGTTATTTTAATTCCCCTAGCAATGCAGGTAGCAACCATTTTTAAATATTTTTTTTCACCTTTATTAGCACTATTTTAAAGTTAATTTTAGACTTTAGTTTTTGCAAATAGCTTATTGTTTGTACAACCGACATAGTAGACATAATGCTGAGAATTCACAAGGTTCTTTCAGTTGAATTACTGATTTTGCATATTGATTTACATTTTTGCCAAAAATTGGTTTAAATATATGTTTAATTTTGAGTTTTATAACAATTTGTTACACTTTATAAGATGATCTTGTTTCTGTTTAGCTATATATATTTGTTTATGCAGTATACCTAACAAGTTTAAAAATTTATATTAAAATTGAAGTGGAAAAACCATCTCTTAAACTTCGATCTAAACAACAAAAAAGTTGTTTCATCGTAACTAACACTCTATTACTCAACTTGAAAGTTTTACTAAAATTTCTGCTGAAAGTTCTGCAGTTAAAGATAACAGCAAAAAACAGTTTCTGATAAGAAGTTAAATGGTTCAAAGTTTGAAGTAATTGATGACTGTTGTTAAAAAAAAACATTATATAGACCGAATAGTAAAGATGACATTATTAGCTCAGCAAAAAAATAGCATTACTTTTAAATCATTTAAAGAAATGAAGCATGGTTATAAGGAATAAGTTAGTTATGACGTTTTGAGGTTCATTGCATACCTCTAACATCAAGCTAGTTATATGCAAAAATTTTATTCTATGTGAAATTGTACATTTAGGAATATGTTTGCAATAAAGTTAGCAATTTTTAAGTTTCCACCACTTAAAAATTGGCCCCCATGGAAACCCCTTTTTTTTTAAATTCATTATTTTTTTCTTAGTTTAATTATATATTTACTGTATCTGTAGTAAAAATTGTTTAACTATCAATAAAGATTTTTTTGTCTATGGAGTTGTGCCCACTTAAGATATGCTGAAGTAATTCACTAAGGGAATGTATTAGTAGAGTAATAAAATAAGATAATAAGTTTGATGTCTGTTTATTATCATCCTAGGCTAATATAATTGGCTAAAACCAAGTATTTGGTTTATGTATTTTCAGTAAACCATATTGGTGTGCAGTATTGTAAGTTAGATTGTATTTATGACAAAAGACCATTTAAAAATTTATATATTTAAAAAGTTTATGTAAAGTCTATTGTTATGGTACCATTTATTAAAATTGTGTACAGTTTTATGCATTGACAATTGTACAGTAAAAAACATTAATAACTTGTTATTAATCTAGATTGTAATATTGGTTATGTACGCAATTCTACAACACTACTTTGTCAACGTGATTCAAGTAAAAGTTTTTTTTATTTATGAAACTTTAATATTGCTTTTAAAAAACTTAACTCTGCAATGATTTTAAAATTACTTATTAACTTATTAACTTATTAACTTATTAATAAAACTTTATTAGATATTGTTTACTTTGAACTCACGGTTTTAGATTGGACTGCAATCAGTGATTGCAATGCAGTATGCAATGGAAATCAAACATTTCAATATAATAATGTTCCATTTACAGTAGTTGATGAGCCCTGTAGTTTGTGTCAAGGTATATTTAATACTGAAATGAAATAAAAAGTTCATAAAAAAATTCCAAAAATAATTTTAAATTATTTAATAAATTAGAATCTTGTTTTATTGATCTCACTAAATTATTTTTTAAATATGCAGATTAGTACATAGTAAAAACAATGAGTTCTGTTATAAGTTTAATAGTATATTAAAATACAAAAAGATTTTTCTATTATATTAGAAACTATCAACACAATATTTAAAGTTGGTTGTATGTTATCAAAAGTATTATATAAGTTAGCAATGGTAAGTTAAGTTAGTTGTTTAAACTTTTCCATTTAATTTTAGGTTATTGTGGAGTAAACTCTACATGTTTATGTTCTAATGATGCCCAATATGCTGATAATAATGGGGTTTGCCAAAATTGTATGTTTTGTTGATTTTAATTTTTTTCTTTGGTTTGTTTAATGTATAGTTTTTATTAATTAATAAATTAATTTAATAAATTTTATTTATAATTTTAAATTAGATGTTTTGAAATTAGTTTTTATGGTTATTTTGTCATGGTAGTTTGTGTTGGTTAGTCATGTTGAAATTCAAAAAGCCCGCAGCTGCACTAAAATAAGCATTAGATGGTGCTCATTATTACATTACTATTTAATGGTTACATCTGCAAAGTTCTAGACTATTTAAAACAGCTAAAAAATACTATGATTATATACTTAAACTAATTTTTCTTTGACCTAAATAATAGAGACTTTGTGTATGATATCTTGTTAGAGAGCATAAAGATGAAGAGTAGCACACCAAGGACACAAAGTAACAACAACACATAACATAACACATGGTGCATACACAATGCTGAGAAATTAAGAGGTTCTTTCAGTTGACTTACTGAATTTGCATATTGATTTACATTTTTGTCAAAAATTGGTTTAAATATATGTTTAATATTGAGTTTTATAACAATTTGTTACACTTTATAAGATAATCTTGTTTCTGTTTAGCTATATATATTTATTTATGTAGTATACCTAACAAGTTTAAAAATTTATATTAAAATTGAAGTGGAAAAAACTATCTCATGAACTTCATTTAAACAACAAAAAAGTTGTTTCATCGGAACTAACACTCTATTACTCAACTTGAAAGTTTTTCTGAAAGTTCTGCGGTTAAAGATAACAGCAAAAAACAGTTTCTGATAAGAAGTTAAATGGTTCAAAGTTTGAAGTAATTGATGACTGTTGTAAAAAAAAAGATTACAGGGAACCGAATAGTTAAGATGACATTTTTAGCTCAGGTTTTTAACATTTTTTTGTGTCCGGAGTGTGCATATTAGACACCAGTGATTTTTAACTTTTTTTCAAAACTCCAATTACTTCAAACCGGAGTACCTTCTTTAGACCATAAAAACATTATGGGCAAAATATAAAAGCTTCAGGTATTTCCAATTCTATTTTATTTGGACTTATATTTACAAATATTATCATTAAAAAGTAAAAACTTTAAGAGATCAAACAATAAATATTTGAAATGATAACGCACAAGAACTTTTATAAGTTGTATAAATAATTTTAAATTAAATTTTTAAGGTTGTTTTTAGGGTGTTGGAAAAATAATTATCATAACTTAAACAATAAGTGGTTTTCAATAATCATTAGCCATTAACTGAAAAACGGATTTAAACATTAACAACAATGTTATGTTATTACAGCACTTTTTATCAGGATTTATTCTAATATACAGAAACAAAAGAAGAAAATTATTTTTATGGGTGGTGAGTAGATGGTGTGGCAGGTGTTAACAATCCTCTATCTCCCCCCCCCCCAACTCCCCAAACACACACACACACTCACCCAAAAAAACAAGATTTTGTTATGCCCCTTTTAATTTTGTAGACATTTTATTCAGCAAGTAAACCACTACTAAATATATTATACTTTTACTGCTGAACCAAATTGATATTAATGATAAACATATAACCAAATAGATTAATTTAAAGAAATGATAACAAATTACAACGTATATTCTTTCTTTGTTCTAAAATAATTTTGTTTCTTTTGACTTTGGCATTTAGCTAGAATAAGGGCATTTCTTTTCTTGAGGTTAATAAATTTTCCGGTAACATCAGAATTCATTTTCACTGCTCATTCAACCGTTTGCCAGTGGCACGGAAAATTGGGAGCCTTTCTTTGATTCGGATCATATTCAAAAGCTCCTCATTTGATATATTTTTCACACAAGGGTTTCAAAACAGTCTATATCATACAACTTTATTAATTTTGACCAGTTTTTACATTTACAATCAATAACTGGAATGGCATTAACCCTAATACCATCTTTTAATCCATTTTTAGGATCCTTAATTAGAGTTTTTCTTGCTTCCAAAATCTTAACAATAGCAATTGTTCTATAAAGCTTTTCCTCAGAATAAAGTAGAGCAGCAATAAAGTTCTCAGATCGGAAACAAAAAGAGTTTCTATAAATTATGGACAATGTAGTATTTTGAACTTCAGTATCCAACTTCAAAATCCGCTGATTAAATTGAAAAATGAGTTTAGGACCCTCTATGAAACTCTTAGACTTTTTGATTTTAAACCAGATAGGAGTATATACTGTTTGAACATATTCAATAAAGATTTTGAGCTCTCTACTGGGATTGATTATTCTTGTGTTTAGTGCCAAGACTGCTCTTGTCCACACTGCTGTTGCTGCTGCACTCCACACTGCTTTTGTCAGCCACTTTGCATGACTAATGGGGCCTAAAAATATAATCTTTTATATATAAAAATTAATTAATTCTATAATTTAATAGTAAATTATATATTAATAAATATATATTTACATAAACTTCAAACAAACTAAATAAAAGAAAAAATATCAAGAACAAGTGATTTACAAAACAACAAACCTATTTTTTTTCTCAGATACTTCTTGTCTGAAAACCCTCTAGAAATTCCAATACTTATCCCAGTAGCATTCTCTGGTCAGCAGAGAGGTCTTTAATGACAGATGGAGGAGGATATTCAACGTTTGTTTCAACTTGTATGAAGTCAACAGTTAAATTTAAAGGAATAGGATCTGTCAAAGATTTTCCAACTGGTTCTTTAAAATATTATTATTAGTATTTAATCAAATATATTAATAATAATAGTTATAATTTTTTACTAAAAATAATAATTTATAACTATGCTTATCAGAATAAAGTAAAGCAGCAATAAAACTCTTATGTAAAAAATAGAGTTTCTATAAATTTTAATAATGTTGCTATTAATAATATTATTGGCAAGAATGTAAAATAATATTATTATTTAGATTACCCAAATAATTATTTGAGCTATTAGGAGAACTGTCAAGTTTAGAAATTAAATGACACAATAGTAACTTGTTAACATATAGAAGACAGTCAATTAAATGAATTCTTCTTTTCAATATTCCTTCAAGACAAACAACTAAAACATTATATTTACCTAAAATAATATAGTAATATGAAAATATATAACTCAAATAAAGATTTATATATTATCTTTTTTTATTTTTCAGACAGGTATTTTTGAAGAAAAAATATACCTGTATTAACATTTGTACTGTCCAAAAATATTGCCTGGATACTTTAATCACTCTTAAACTCCTTGAAAACATCACAGGTAAATTCAGCAAGACCTTTTCCTTCACCTTTTTCTTTAGGTACATCTATGTGCTTTAGATATTGGGTTTGCAACTATTCTTGGTCAAATTAAAACATTTTTATTATTAAAAAATAAAATTAAAAAAAAAAACCAAAACAAAAGAGATAAAATTGGCCTTTACCTGATTCAATTGTGAATGTCAAGTGTTCTACAGTGCTGGTAAATTCACAAAGTTTTATTTCACCATCAACTCTGTTCATAAACCAATGAGTTTTTATTACGTTTTCTATCCAAACGAATTGCCATTCGAAACTTTACTCAAAACTTACATTAAAACATTCTTTTTCTCTCTTCATTTTACTTGGATCAATTACATCATTTAGATGTAGACAACCAATATCTTGAAGTAGAGCATTAGCTATGGAGGCAGCTGCTTCATCTGATATTCTATATCTAATTACCTCTAAAGCAAATTTGGGATAATGGATAGTGTTATAGTACTTTGATCTAGTTTGATTTAATGATGAAATTGAAGTTTCACTCTGTAAATATAGAAAAAATACAACAAAACTTCCAGAAATTAAAAATCATAACAATGAAAATTTTACATTTAATTGCATTAACATATAAGATGCTGTAATTAACTTTAGAGCGTTACATTAAAAGAATTAAGAAATTTAAGAATATATATAGTTTTTATCATACAATCAAAGTTCACAGGTCACAGTTTATTACCTGATCTAAATCCATGATTGTGTCAAAACTTTTGAACAAGAAACATTGTTATAAAATCTCAAGAGTTTAACAAACTTTTTTCAGGTAACAAAACTAATTTGGAATTGCAAATGAACCATATTTCTTTTAAACTACAAAGTGTTCTTTGAATAATAATATTTTTGTCTTTAATACCATCTAAATCTTTTAGTTTTAGAAAAATCTTGTAGAAAAATCTTGCTACATCACCATAAGTTGCTAGATCTGTAATAGGAAGATCAGAAGGGCTACCACCATGTAAATTACATCGTCTAGTTCTTTTTACAGGAGGCATTTTTTTATTATTGTAATAAATTAAGATTTAATAATATAGGTAATATATATTATAGATTTTATAACTCCTTAAAAATAGCAGTAAAACGCTTGTGCAAGGTTTAATTTACAATTTGATACTCTACTTTTTGGTTTGTATACATTTTTTAACGCCAGATGTCATAACATACAGGGTGTCAACTCCAAAAAAACTAGAAAAAATGTATAAGGTTATTTTTAAAAAACATGATGGAATAACTGGAAAATGTATTTTTCATAATCATTGAATCAATGATGCACAAAAAATATATTTTTTCTGTTTCTTTAGCTTTTCAAAAACAATCCTTTCTAGTTTTTTCAGTTTATCCAGCAAAGCAGACACCCCGATATATCCAATAAAAATGGCGACTTATAGGAAATCTTTTAAGTTGGAATTTTATTGCTTATTTTTAAAATAAGGTAGCTTCTACTCAACTTTAAAAAATAGTAATTTTTGCCAAAATTACTATTTCTTAAAAGGTAATTACTCCAGCTTGAAGTGATAAATTCCCAGAAATTGCTAGTGTCTAGTGCACATTCAATAAAGTTAAATCAAAATCAGAAGTTAGGAATTGCTTTTGAACGTAATGTACAATTTGTGGTTTAAACGGCTCTGAACTTTAAAAAAAATTAGAAAAAATAAAGTTTTGACACTAGTAGTTAAATGTTTTGCGTATGGTAGGGAATGCGTAAAACAGGGATGGGTTGCATCTAATGTTTTATCATAGTCTATAGTGCTATAGTTAATAGATAAAAAAGTTCATTTCAAATATAATTATTGTTATAAATAAAATTTCCATAGATTTTTTTTTTTTAATGTTTTTTTATGAGATATCAATATTTTACTAACTTTACTTGACTGTGGCAAGGATATTTCAGAAACAGTTTGTCTAAAATATATGGACAGTTTGTTGACTATGTAACAAGTTGTGCAATAAACCTCAAAATTATATGAATGTATGTGTAAACAAAATAAAGCCATTTTTTAGTCACCATGTGAGGTAAAATTAGCATCATTCTATGTGATCTCTTAAATTTTGGAATAATTTTGCAAAGTAAATCTGTAGTAAAAATTGTTTAACTATCAATATTGAAGATTTTTTTTGTCTATGGAGTTGTGTCCACTTAAGATTTCTTGGAAGTAATTTACTAAGGAGTTGTATTAGTAATAAAATAAGATAATAAGTTTGATGTCTGAATCACAGACATCAGACAGTAAGTATTTAATGGTATTTATGAGGCAATTTTTCATTTGATGGTATTTATGAGGCCAAAAGTTGAATCTTATGTTATTGAAAAGTAGAATTTTAATAAGATGCCACAAGTTTTTTTACTTTTTATGATAATTAATGGAATCAATAATTTTTTAAATTGATTTTAATCTAATTTTCTTTTGAGGATGATCTACTACTCAATCTCTAGAAAAAAAGATTATTTATTCAGTATTACATATAATTTAAGAAACTTTAAGAAACATAATCTAATATTTTGATGAACTTTTGCAATTGTTACAGGTATAATATTTTACCTGATGATAATGTTGTATTTAAGGGTGCTCATTGCAAAAGATCATTTGAAAATAAATATATATTTAAAAAGTTTAAATGAAGCCTATTGTTATGGTACAATTTATTAAATTTTTTATACTGTTTTTTCTAGTTTTGTAAAAATTTGTGCAGTTTTACTCATTTATAATTGTACACCAAAGAACATTGATAACTTGTTATTAATCTAGATTGTAATATTGGTTATGTACGCAATTCTACAACACTACTTTGTCAACGTGATTCAAGTAAAAAAAAAAATTTTATTACACTTTTATATTGCTTTTAAACAACTTAACTCAATGATTTTAAAATTACTTAACAAAAAACTTTATTAAATGTTGTTTATTTTGAATTCACGGTTTTAGATTGGACTGCAATCAGTGATTGCAATGCAGTATGCAATGGAAATCAAACATTTCAATATAATAATGTTCCATTTACAGTAGTTGATGAGCCCTGTAGCTTGTGTCAAGGTATATTTAATACTGAAATGAAATAAAAAGTTCATAAAAAAATTCCAAAAGTAATTTTAAATTATTTAATAAATTAGAATCTTGTTTTATTGATCTCACTAAATTATTTTTTAAATATGCAGATTAATACATTGTAAAAACAATGAGTTCTGTTATTAGTTTAATAGTATGTTAAAATACAAATAGACATTTCTATTATATTAGAAACTATTAACACAATATTTACAGGTGGTTTTATGGTATCAAAAAGTATTGTTTAAGTTAACAATGGTATGTTTACTTAGTTGTTGAAACTTTCTCCATTTAATTTTAGGTAATTGCGGAATAAACTCAATATGTTTATGTTCTAAGAATACTCAATATGCTGATAGCAACGGAGTTTGCCAAAATTGTATGTTCCTTTGTTTTTAATTTTTTTTGTTTTGTTGATTTAATATATAGTGTTTCCAAAAAAGATGTTTAATAATTAGTTTACCAAATATCTTTTTTAACAAACCTTAATAGATAAACTAATAATAAAATTTTACATGCCTATAATTTTTGTATATATCCTATATTAATAATATTACAAGATTTATAGCTATGAAAAAATTTTATGTATTTTTATAGAAAAGTATTAAAACTCAAGGTTCTCCTCATAGATTAAATTTATGAAACCAACTAGAAAAACAAATCTTTATATATTCGTACCGTCTTTATAATTTGCATTAGTTGATTAGTTTACATTGAAATACCAATAGAACTTTGTACAAATGCATAATCCAGTTAGGTTAATGGATCCGATTCAGATCAAAATCAGGCAATGAAAAGTTAAAAATTAACTTCAAAATTTTTTTATCTAAAGAAGTTTAAAAATGTTTTTATCAGAAATAGTCTAATAGGTAGCAAGAAGCCACCAATCAAGGCTTACCTTATAGAAAATATATATATTAATATATATTAATATGTTGTTTTTTTTTAAATAAATTTTTTGTCAAATGTCCTACTGTACCCAAAACTAAGAAAAACTAGATTATAAAAATATCAACAACAAAAACATTTTTTTATAAAGAATCAGCAAGATTATGTTAGGAACAAAAATAAAAAGATGCAATCTTTTTTAGATTTATCTAACCAATTTTTATCTTAAACATTTTTTGAACAGGTGGAGTTAATGAACGAGTTTTCCTACCTTCAGTAACATGTGGTGAGTTTTTTTTTATCTTTTATTGGTGAATGATGTATTCTATAAATTGTATATAACAAGTCTTATTTTATAGAATTTTTTTTTATCAAATTTTTTTCTTGATCTTTTTTTGCTGCTACTTAATCTCTAAAAAAAATGTTCAATATTAAAAATAGTAATTATTAAATTGAATAGACTTTAAAAAACTTCTTTTAATATTATGATGAAACTTTGCTATTTTAGCAGCTCTAATATTTTGATAGCATGGTATTTAAGAAATCACAAAAGATCTTTTTTTTTTTTTTTATAAGATTATTATACATTTCTATATCAGTTTTATGCATTGGCAATTGTACAGTGAAAAACATTGATAACTTGTTATTAATCTAGATTGTGATATTGGTTATCTGCGTAATGCTACAACGCTACTTTGTCAACGTGATTCAAGTAAAAGTTTTTTTTTATTTATTAAACTTTAATATTACTTTTAAACAACTTAACACTGCAATGATTTTAAAATTACTTAAAAAACTTTATTAAATGTTGTTTGTAATGTACTCATGGTTTTAGATTGGACTGCAATCAGTGATTGCAATGCACTATGCAATGGAAATCAAACATTTAAATATAAATTTATTCCATTTACAGAAGTTGTTGAGCCCTGTAATTTATGTCAAGGTATATTTAATATTGAAATCCTTAATGTAATATATTGAATTACTTTATAAATAAAGTTTATAAAAAAATTCCAAAAGTAATTTTAAATAAAAATTTAAAAAAAAAATGTTTAATAAATTAGAATCTTGTTTTATTGATCTCACTAAATTATTTTTTAAATATGTAGAATAATACATTGTAACAATGATGAGTTCTATATTAAGTTTGATAGTATATTAAAATACACATTGCAAGGACACGCCTCTGACGAGTGGCATTAATGCAGGTCTCGGGCTCTATGAAACTTCATTGGTGATTGCAGTGCATTCCTGAGGAGGGGGATCACCATTTATCCACTACTTAATTTTAATTGGTTATTACGGCACTAACATTTTTTTACCTCTTACACCCATGAATTTTTACGCTTTGTGAGCTTTTTATTATAAATTTGTTACATTAACGATATTTATATATTTTTATGTTACACAGGTGATTATCAGTTCTCAATTTTTTATCTAGAGTTTAGAACATATATAGTACTACATTTATTAGACATTTGTATGGTGCGATTATTTTAGTTATGAATACCATTATAAACCAGCGGATTTTTATTGACTTGTTTACTCATAGATCATTGTTTCATCATTTGTTAAAAGATGACTAGAGTGTGAGTTTTTATTCCTCTTTTCCTGAGTTGCTAACTTTTACTCCTCCTACTAAATAGTCTTTACATTAATTTATGTTTTTTTACTTAAATGACATCATCTTCAATCTGTTTTTATTTTTACATATCCCAGATCTATAAAACTAGACGGCTCTGTTGGTCACTTTTTGCGATCATTTGTCGCATAAGCAAAAAAACTCCTTTTAATATTATGATGAAACTTTGCTATTTTAGCAGCTTATTTTGATAGCATGGTATCATTAAAAAATCACAAAAGTTCAAAACTCACTGAAGATTATTAAGATCATTATACATTTCTATATCAGTTTTATGCATCAACAATTGTACAGTTAAAAACATTGATAACTTGTTATTAATCTAGATTGTGATATTGGTTATCTGCGTAATGCTACAACGCTACTTTGTCAACGTGATTCAAGTAAAAGTTTTTTTTCTATTTATTAAACTTTTATATTACATTTAAACAACTTAACACTGCAATGATTTTAAAATTGCTTAATAAAAAACTTTATTAAATGTTGTTTGTAATGTACTCATGGTTTTAGATTGGACTGCAATCAGTGATTGCAATGCACTATGCAATGGAAATCAAACATTTAAATATAAATTTATTCCATTTACAGAAGTTGTTGAGCCCTGTAGTTTATGTCAAGGTATATTTAATATTGAAATCCTTAATGTAATATATTGAATTACTTTATAAATAAAGTTTATAAAAAAATTCCAAAAGTAATTTTAAATTGTTTAATAAATTAGAATCTTGTTTTATTGATCTCACTAAATTATTTTTTAAATATGTAGATTAATACATTGTAAAAATGATGAGTTCTATATTAAGTTTAATAGTATATTAAAATACAGAAAAACATTACTACTATATTATAACCTGGTAGCATAATTTTTACAAGTGGTTTTATGATATCAAAAAGTATTGTTTAAATTAGCAATGGTAGTTCAAGTTAGTTGTTAAAACTTTTTCTGTTTATTTTTAGGTTATTGTGGAGCAAACTCTACATGTTTATGTTCTAAGAACACTCAATATGCTGATGATAATGGGGTTTGCCAAAATTGTATGTTCCATTGTTTTTAAATTTTTATTTATTTATTCAATATATAGTGTTTTTTGAGCAAAATCTTTAAAAATTAAAAAATATAATTTACAGAATTCATCTCTATCATACTTAAACAGACAAGAAAAAAAATAAAACTGAGCCTGATACCGAATTGCTGTATGCTAGGATTGCTAAGTATACTAAACCACTGCATTACTTCAAAAGCAAGAGTGCTATGAAAAACTATAGTAATTAGTGTATTTTTAATAGGAGTGCAACACTTCCTCCTTTTGACCAATGCCAATTGGTAGAGGCTGGTTTTGAAGCATTAGTCCCAAATTAGAATTTATACTCTTTTTTTTTTTTACTAATAGGTAAATAAGGATTGTGTATATATATATATATATATATATATATATATATATATATATATATATATATATATATATATATATATATATATATATATATATATATATATATATATATATATATATATATATATAAAATAAGAAATACATCTACAATAAGCAATTCAAATAAAAGTCTAACTATTTTGATATTGATAATTTTTAAAGGCAATTTTTGTAAAATAAAAATATCAAGAGGTATCTGGCAGATAAAGTTTTTATTGTTATATAATTTCTGTTCTCAATTGAAAAATGACATTAGAAAAGTAGGGAGCCCTTGAAAAAAAACAGTTTTAAAAAATATTTTGAAAAGTTTTGTGGTTGGAGATAAATATAATAAATTTTGCTTATACATGCATTTTTGTTTATGGAATAGTTTTACTTTTGCATATAATATTGAAACAAAAATAAAAAACCCGATGTTTTCAAAATGCAATTTCGATGGTTATTAAGACTGATGCTAATGCATCGGCTAAATGATTGATGCATCCGCAGGTTGATGCCAATGAATTGATGCACTTCTAATTTTTAGTGATAAAATTAGTGTTTGCATAACTAAATGAAAGTCAGAAAATAGGGGTGACAAAAAAGGAACAAAAGTTATGTAAGAAGAAGAAAAAAAGTATATAATGAAAATCAATTAGATCACTCTTTGATCTCAGGACCGCATGTCCTGGGATCAATCCTGAGATCACATGTCCAAAGGCAGAATGCAATGCATTATTCTTTTGTACTACAGTCCAGGTTGTTTAGGGTTTAGAAGTAGTAACATTCTGTAATTCCAATATACTAAACTATATAATATACTTTAATACTTTAACTTGTCATAGTTAAATAAGTTTGGATAATAAATAACTTATTTAACAGAAAAATAAGTTACTGAATAGCGACATTATGAATTAAAATGCTTAATGATTTTTTTGTTATTTGGTTGTAATTTTTTTGTAATATAATTTTGTGCTAATATTGATTTCACACATATATGGTCTTATACACACATGATACAAAATAGAAAAAATATACAAGAAGAGATCAAGCAAAGATTATAAATGAAAGTATATATAAAAGAAAAAATAGTAATTTTAGTTATTTATAGAGCTTAGTTGTTTTATAAAGCTATTTTTATAGAGTCTAGAGGTGTGATGGTTTTAGTGCATCACTTTATATTGTAAACCTTTTTTTTTTTTTTACTAATATTTTTTAGAAATTTCTTTATACATTTCTTAGAAATTTTAAAATTTCTTACTAAAAATTAAATAACTTTTTTAAAATAGTAAAAAAAAATTTTTTTTCAGTTTTATTTGATGCAGGTAATCTGTGGTGCTTGAATTAGACTAAGCAATGAAAGTCCACAGAGAAAATATAAAAGAGGATAAGTAATATAAATAAAGAAAAACAAACAGATGTTCAGAATAAACAGAGATTTATTTTAAGAAAAAAAATCTTATACATAAATCATACTTAACAGTAATTTTATTGTTAAAGTATACCTAAAACAAAACCGGACACAAAAAGAACCATAAATCTTCATTAAACACAAAAGTTTAACTTTTAGGAGGTATAAGATAAAGAAAAAAAGTTATTGCTTTTGTGTAATCATAATTTATGTTTATTACCAGTGTTTTAAAGAGGCTCAGTACCAAAACCTAGTTTATCTAGTCAGATGAACATCATCACTATTTATGCTTTACCCTGCGATTTACGTCTGCTCCATACTGCAGTAAAAAAGGACTTTACTACAAACAACCAAAACCTTTACTACACCCAAATTTGTATAGCACTAATATTTTTAATAAAATAATATAGAAAGTAAGAAATCTAAATTCAGTATCAAATAACATAACAAAATGAAAAATGATTAATTCAAAGTATTAAATATTACACAAAAACGAAAAATTAAAATAAGCACTATATCACTGGTCAAAAGTTGTTTAAAATAAATAAATAGAAAATAATAAACACTACAATGATAAGTTCTAATAGAAAAAACTCAAAATACTACACAACACAGCCAATGTAAAAAACATTATAAAATAAAACTTTATTAAAACCACATCTAGTTGCTAAACTCTGTAGTTTCAATTGATCAAATGCACACATAGGTTGCACATGAAAAGTTGTGGCTCAAAAGTCACAAAGTAAATAATTTATGTTTCTGCGCAAACACAGGTTGCATACAGGTGACCAGAATAATCATACCTTTGCCTCCTTGCATATAGGTAGTCAACTGTATGTGAGGCCATGGAAGTAGTGATTCTAAGATCAGAGTTTAGATGTTTTTAGATTCTAAGAACAGATTTTAGATTATTTGTTTAAGTAAGAATACATATGGATATTGATTAGGGTGGAGTGAAAATAACTTTTTTTTTGGTAATTTCTATAAATTTCTGTAATTATATAAAAAATTAAGTCAAAGCACTCTTCATTCTCAAGACTTTACAATTATGACACAACCTGCTAATCTGTTGTGCTACAGTTGCTATGACACAACCTGCTAATCTGTTGTGCTACAGTTGTTATGACACAACCTGCTAATCTGTTGTGCTACAGTTGTTTAGAGTTAAGAAATAGTAGTATACTCTAATTCCTGTAATAGTAGTTCTGTAATATAATAGTAATTCTGTAATGTAATAGTAATTATGTAATGTAATAGTAATTATGTAATGTAATAGTAATTATGTAATGTAACAGTAATTATGTAATGTAATAGTAATTATGTAATGTAATAGTAATTATGTAATGTAATAGTAATTATGTAATATAATATTGTAATAATACTGTACTGTTTTTTATGCTCTAAATGTTGACTAAGTTAGTATTAAATTTAAAGTAACAATATTTCAATAGCTCAAGAATGAGCCTCTGCCCTGTTGTCTTGCATTGAGAGTTGCATTACTTTTTTATAGAGTTCCATCGCTTTTCTATAAATGTTAATATGGTTGCTGCTCAAACAAGTTATTCTATCAAACAAAACAGTGTCACCTGGCTCATTCAGCAAAGTTGGATCCTTTTACTGTATCTTGCAAATTCTTTGCTCTAAAATTCTTTACTGTCTTCATGTTTTTTGACTCAATTTACAGTGTAAAGTCTTCTGTCAAATATTACTTGCTCTACAAGAACATTTTTTGTTTTCTAACTCGTAACATAAATAGATGTTACATGCGGCTGTAGTTTTAAAAAAATTCCTACAATCAGTTGACAAAAGCCTACTCAAAATTTGAGTTTGCAATGATGCCTTTAACCAAGCTTGTCACAAAGTTACGCTAGTTCAAAAATGGACTTTTTTTTTATATTGTTTATAAGCCGAAAATCTAGTTCATAACTGTACAAGCATTGGTAAACACCAATTTATTGTAATGTGTATATCAATAAAATCGCAAATGAATTCCATTTTCTTTTGTTGCATCAATAAAAACAATTGTCAAACTCATGATTGTCTCAAAGAATATAAGATAAAAGTATATATAATACATCCATATGTACTATAGTAGTCATCATAGTAGTCAACAAACTCAAGCAGCATCTATATAATAGATTGGAGTTTTATTTAAATTAAGACTTAAAAAACCTAAATAAAAAATATATAGAGGATTTCTTTTAAATTTTTATAACTGTACCCAAAATTAAAGAAAATAAGATCAAAGTATCAACAGCGACAAAAATACTATATTTTTCCATAATTTATTTTTTTAATTTGTAAGATTATGCTAAGAAATAAAAAAGTAATCTTTCATAGATTTATTTTAACTAAGAAGTTATATTGTGCCCTAGTTTTTTTCTTTTTAAATTTTTTTTTCCTTTTATTTTTTGAATAAATATAAATAGACACATTTTTTTGAGTAGCTTGGTCTTCATTTTGTTCCTTTGTTTTGAACTTTGAGTCATAAATCCATTCACCACTAAGATGGTTAATTGTGGGGACCCAAATATTGTTGCTTGGATTTAATTAGTTTATTTTCATATTTTTTTTGTATATATTATGTACAATTTATTAATTTTATTTTTCATGCATTTTTTGTTTTTATTAATTTTATTTTTGCAACTAAACTGACAATAAAAATTACTCATTTTTATTATATATATAATTTTTTGACCAGGTGGAATTAATGAACATGTTATACCACCTTCAACAACATGTGGTAAGTTTTTTTACATTTTCTAGGTGATGCGATCAATAAATTGTATGTAAATAAGTTTATATTCATTAAATAAATTTGTTTTTAATTTTTTTCTTGACTTTTTGTTACTACTCCATCTCTGTAAAAAAACAAATTTTAATTAACTAAACAATAATTATTATAATATAAATACAATATAATAATTGCAAATTAAATTAAAAATAATTGATATTTGCTAAACTAAAGAAACTTTAAGAAAAATTTCTAGATGAAATTTTGCAATTGTCACAGGTGTAATAATTTACCTAATGATAACATGGTATTTAAGGATGCTTATCATAAAAGATCATTTAAAAATATTTTAAAAGTTTATATAAAGTCTATATATGATATGGTACAATTTCTTAAATTTTGTTTACTGTTTTATATTTTTGTAAATATTTGTGCAGTTTTATGTATGGACAATCGTACTGTGAAAATCATTGATAACTTGTTATTAATCTAGATTGTGATATTGGTTATCTGCGTAATGCTACAACGCTATTTTGTCAACGTGATTCAAGTAAAAGTTTTTTTTTATTTATTAAACTTTAATATTACTTTTAAACAACTTAACACTGCAATGATTTTAAAATTACTTAATAAAAAAAACTTTATTAAATGTTGTTTATAATGTACTAATGGTTTTAGATTGGTCTCCAACCAGTGATTGCAATGCACTATGCAATGGAAATCAAACATTTAAATATAAATTTATTCCATTTACAGAAGTTGTTGAGCCCTGTAGTTTATGTCAAGGTATATTTAATATTGAAATCCTTAATGTAATATATTGAATTATTTTATAAATAAATTTTATAAAAAAATTCCAAAAGTAATTTTAAATTGTTTAATAAATTAGAATCTTGTTTTATTGATCTCACTAAATTATTTTTTAAATATGTAGATTAATACATTGTAAAAATGATGAGTTCTATATTAAGTTTAATAGTATATTAAAATACAGAAAAACATTCCTATGTTACATAACTGGTAAAACAATATTTACAGGTAGTTTTATGGTATCAAAAAATATTGTTTAAGTTAACAATCATAGGTTTAATGCATTTATTTAAATTTTACTTTCTCCATTTAATTTTAGGTTATTGTGATATTAACTTAAAATGTTCATGTTTAAATGAAACTCAATATGCTGATAGTGATGGGGTTTGCCAAAATTGTATGATTCATTGTTTTTACTTATTTTTTATGTGTGTATATATATATATATATATATATATATATATATATATATATATATATATATATATATATATATATATATATATATATATATATGTATACGTATATGTATATATATATATATATATATATATATATATATATATATATATATATACATATATATATATATATATATATATATATATATACATATATATATATATATATATATATATACATATATATATATATATATATATATATATATATATATATATATATATATATATATATATATATATATATATATATATATATATATATATATAAGTATATATATGTATATGTATATATAAATTTATATACATATATTTTATTTATTTTTTATGTGTATATATATATATATATATATATATATATATATATATATATATGTATATGTATATATATATATATATATATATATATATATATATATATATATATATATATATATATATATATATATATATATATATATATGTATATATATATATATATATATATATATATAATAAGATGTTTAAAAGTTAGTTTAGAAAATATCTTTTTGTTCAAACTTTAACAGACAAACTAAGAAATAAATTTTACATGTATATATATATATATATATATATATATATACAAAAAAAAATTTAAAATATATATTTATATATATTTTAATTTTTTTTTTTTTTGCATAAAAACATAGAGAAACATTTTATCAAGTAGCATAGTCCTCATTTTGTTTCCCATAATTGTGCCTAGATTTGAATTTAGAGTTCTAAAACTATTTACCACTATATACAGTTAATTTTTGTTAGTTTTTTTTTGTAGTTTTTGTTATTAATAATTTTATTTTTGAAACAATAAAACAGTCTTGATGACTTTTATCTTTTATTGTTTTTTTGTTTTTTTTTACTAGGTGGAATTAATGAACGTGTTATACCACCTTCAGTAACATGTGGTGAGTTTTTTTTTTTATCTTTTATCGGCAAAGATGTGATCCATAAATTGTATATAAAGTCCTATGTAATATAAAGTTTTTTTAATCAAATTGTTTTTATCAGTTTTTTTTCTTGAAGATGAACTGTTTATTTAATATTGCAAATAGTAGATACTTGCTAAATAAAAAATTTAAAAAACTTTTTCTAATATTTTGATGATGTCACAGGTATAATATTTTAAAAGCCCATGGCCACCAGACTAAAGTTATTCTATAAAAGCTAAAAATTTCTAAGCACATGCTTCCAACACTAAAAATGTTTGTCAACTAGGGCAGGTAAATTTTGAAACTGAGTTATTGGACTAGGAGAGACAGGTGAATTATTGCAAATTAAAACTCTGAAGGAATTTTTGTATAATTGCTTAGTTTTTTGAGGAAGACTAATTTTTCATGTATTTTTATAAAAGCAATGTTTTTTTAAAAGTTTCAAATAAAAACAACGTTAAAAACAAAGATTTGAGAGAAAATATTTTAAAAACCTAATGATTTCAGCTTAATATTTAAAAGAAAAAATGTTTTTATTTTACTTTTAGGTATATATCTGAATAAATAATAATATTTCATATTGTTATAATAAGGTTTATCAAAAATAAATAAATTTTTAAATCTAAAATGACATAAAGTAACGATTTAATTTTATTTACTCTTAATTTGTGGAAATTCACTTTTTGTGTACTTTTTGAGCTCAAAGTTCTGATTTACAGAAAATGTGATTAATCCTCTAAAACCTATCAGCCTGATTTTAAAAAAGTCGCCATCAAAGGCTGAATTCATTTACGTTATTTTTATTTTTTAAAAAAACATCTATTTGAGATTTTTAATAGAAAATATGAAGAATAGAAATTTTTCTTAGTGTTTTTTTAGAATACATTTTAAAAATAACTTTTTTAAATTATAAATCTAATTTTTCTGAAATCAGCATAAGATTTCCTATATTTTAAGACCAATGTTGACTATATTTTGAATAATTTTTTTTTCCCACATATATAGGGCCCTCTCAGATTTTTGGGTCTGTTTCCTCAAATATTAGTGCAAAATAGGAAGCTAAAATTTTCATAATACTTTTAATTGCATTAAATTGCACTTATCTCAACTAGTCCAAGATCTGTTTTCTAAAAAAAGTTGAAAATCGACCTACCCTGTTATCAACTCTATACTTTAGGTCATGATGGTTTTGACAGGTAAATGATACCAAAATATAGTGCATAATTTTCTGATAATTTTCTTTGGAATAGTATTAGAAATTACCTCAATTATTGCCAGACTCTTAATTAGTGGCAACTCCTTGCCAGACACCTTAAATTTTATAAAATTGTAACTGTACTTATGTTATAGTATAAATATGGAATATTACAGGTGTCACTTAGGTAGCTATTAGAAGATGTTTCCTGATTAGCCAGGCACTTTCTACAGTTCTATCAGACAAGCATATATGTTAGTAATATTGTTAGTTATATATTTAAAAAATATACAACTAACAATATTAAGTGCAAAAGCAAAAATTTTAGTTATGTAGCTAAACTGAAAATACTTGTAATTTGATTAGGTAAAAAAAAGTACTGGTTTCTATTAGCATTCAATAAATATTAGATGAAAATTGTAATAAACATGAATTTAAAAAGGGTTTTAATAGATACAATATTTTTGATGCGGTTTCTGGTATCATTTTTTTGTATCCCTTAGGTATCTGTTACCTGCCAAAAGCCACCATGACCTAAAGTACATAGTTGACCATTGTTTGTAGTTGTGTTAGAAGCATGGGTTAAGAAATTTTGAGCTTTTATAGAACAATGTAGGTCTGGCAGCCATAGACTTTTAGGTTATAATATTTTAATTAGTGAAAACATTGTATTAAAGGATGCTGATGACAAAAGATCAGTTAAAAAATATATTTAAAAAGTTTATTTACAGTCTACTTTTATGGTACGATTTGTTGAATTTGTATACTGTTATCTGGTTTTGTAAAGTTTTGTATAGTTTTATGGATTGACAATACTACAGTAAAAAACATTGATAACTTGTTATTAATCTAGGTTGTGATACTGGTTATGTACGCAATTCTACAACGCTTCTTTGTCAACTTGTTTAATGTAAAAGTTTTTTTTTTTATTTATCAAACTTTAATATTGCTTTTAAACAACTAAACACTGTATTTGGGAAAATAGTGGTTTTATAATAATTATAAAGTTAGGGATGTTAAAAAAATTAATAAAAATAAATAAATATTCATTATATTCTTTATTAGAATTAAACTTTCTTCTTGTCATTCTACTTTTTTATTTTCCTAATGTTAAACCATTTCTATTCAGTAAAAAAATAAGTTTTTTCTAAAACTTCAGAAATGAGTTTTACAGCAATATTTAACAATGATGAAGTTTGGATTTAAAATAAAGGAAGTTTGTTTGATGTCAACATAGGAGTTTGTGATGGCGCTGAAGTTTGTGAACTAGAAAGCCATCAAACATTTTAGATAAAACCATTTAAGCATTTCAATCAAATAAAAATGTTTAAAATATTTATCAAATAAAACATTTATTAATTTGAATATGTAATTATTTAAAATAATAAATTATAAGTTATTAAGTATTGCTTTGTTCTTGTTATTGCTTAAATTTGTATTACTGTTTCTTTGTTATTCATTTATTCATCATATTCCTTTTTCAATTAAAGTTAGATGATATTTATTAATGTTTACACATAAATAAAATGTTTGTGATAAACATCTGTTAATTTAGGATATTTTCCGCAATATTACACTGGTTAATAGTCAAGGTAATTTTCTAAATATTTTCCTTATTTACATATTTTTAAAATTCATTTTTTGACTTTTAAACTTTCAAAAAAGCTTTTTTTTAACATTGTTATTTTAAACATTGTTATTTTGTTCAGTTTATGAATGATTCTTATTAGTTATTGTTGTTTTTTTGAATAAAATTATAATTTTTAAAAATATTTTTCGTTACTTGGAGACCGATCAGATTGCAAATTCATACTTTTTACAAAAAATTGCATTAATGTTATCATCACTTAAAAAATATTATCATTATTAAAAATGTTATCATTATTAAAAATGTTATCATTATTAAAAATGTTATCATTATTAAAAATGTTATCATTATTAAAAATGTTATCATTATTAAAAATGTTATCATTATTAAAAATGTTATCATTATTAAAAATGTTATCATTATTAAAAAACACATTTTAAATCAAAATAATATAAAGAAATAAAAAGAAATTTTAAATTTAAGTTTTTATTACAACTTACCAAAAAAAAAAGATTTTTATTTCACTGAAATGTTTTTATTACAATTTTTTTTTTTAGATTGTTGATAAAGGAACCTGATTTTACCGAAAACAAAAAAAGTTTGCACAGAGAGTTGAAAAACTTTTACTTTTTTAAACTTTTGTGCTCCTGCTGCACAAACCGCGATTAATTTTTTCAGTTTGTAAAAAATTTTATTTTGTTTACTTATTAATGATTATTTTTATGTTTTTAATGAATATTTTTACTCGAATTAAACGAACTTGTTTTTATTTTATTATTTTTAATACAAAATAATAAATAAGTTGTTTAATAAATCAATTTTGTTTTTAACTGTAATATAAATAGATTTTACAATTATCTTGCACTGATGAGGTTTTTTTAAGTTTGTTAACCCAGAATATAAAATAAATCATATTTGTTGTTATTTTAACGTAGAGGTTACATCAAATTCATAAAATTAATTTTAAATAAAATTATACTCGTTTGTTCATCATAAAAATAGTACTTTATAAAAATTTGTTCTCAAAATAATCCATTTTAGATCATATAAACATAGGTTTTCGGTTGACACAAAGTGTACTGCAACATGTCCAATAAACGGTTGGTCATATTAACAGAGAAAAGAGGAATATAAATCAGAACAAATTTAACGTCCTGATTTGTTGCATTTTTCTTAAGAGGACAGTTTTTTATGGTTTGTTTTATGTTATGTTTAAAGCGGTTGATGATATTTGTATTTATGTGATCGTTTCAAATATTATATCAAAGTTTGTTCTTTGCTTTCATTGTCATGTAATATATATTTCTGATTAATATCATAATATTCTATTACAGAGTGGAATAATGAAATAAAGACAGTCTATTATGTTTTAAGGATATAGACGAACTGCTTTTCTATGCAATGTTTTTAAGTAGAGTTAATTCTAACAATAAATGTAAAGAGAATATAATTTTGATTTTTTGAATATTTTTAATAATAAAAATGTTTAGTAAAATTTTCACAATAATTTTCGTTTTAAATTTTCAAAATAAAGTTTTCACAAACTGTAAAACTGGTTACTCTATCGGTACAAAAAAGTCCACATTTCATTTTCCTGAAGAAAATGATTTGCGAGAACGCTGTATGTTATTTGTTAATAAAAAAGACTGGGTTTCATCTAAATACTTAGCTATTTGTGTTGACATTTTTTGATCATAAACTTATTATATAATGAAAAAGATACACCATAAAATAGAATCTTCAATCTGTTGAATTTATTCACACAGATAGAATAACCAAAAAGACGCGTTGAAAAATTGTTGTATGTTTTTAACTTTTCCTGACCGTATAAGAAAAAAAATAATGGCATTAATTCATTTTTTCCTGAGTTGAATGGATTTAGAAACTACTTTTCTCAATGTAGACATCCATATTACGCTTCCGTTATATAATATACACTAAGTTTACGTCACACTTCAGCACAGTCGTACAAGTTATAGTTAAAACAATTTTCCTTTCCGTCTTTCAGTTTAAAAACAAAAATTCAAACTAGCAATATAAATCATTTATAATAAATGCATTTAAAGCCATAAAAACTTTGTTACAAAAAATTTGTTTATCAAGTGATAGAGTCTTCTTGTGAGATGAGATGTGTTTGCAAAAAGTAGATTTATATCAAAGCGGTATAATATGTGGATGAAGGTTAAAAAAAACAATCTTTGAAAAGGTGTAGTTGTTTTAATGATTGTTGGGCTTCAAAATTATGAAAATTATCTATTCCTTTTTAATTGAGATTCTTACCTGAAGTTTGCATAACACTTTTATAATTAAAATAAAAAATTGACGAGTTTACCTCATTGCGCCGGATAGCTGTTGTTACCGATAATCATGCTACCAATGCTGACAAATTTTTAAAATTTCATAAAGGTTATACTAGAAATGGAAAACTATTTATTTATCATCTAGTTAGTCAGGACCGGAATAAAATATTCAGTGGCCCTAAGCACTTAACAAATTATGGTGCCCGAACATAGCCAACTAACTGCAGGTAAGTGCAAGCTGCTGTGCAACATTAGTATTTATTACAATATTATATACACATGCTATAATCTATACATCTGTCATACATCATGTAACTATGATGATGTATGCTGTAAACAACATATATGAGTATGGTGTAAACAGTTCACGTAACTACTACATTACTAGTAACTGCTATAATTTTTATAAATCACATTTCGTTTCCTAGACTTTGAAAGTGCAAAATCGTTGATTACATTGTCAAAGTCAACTGAAGCATATCTGCCTCAATGCAGAATAGAGATAAAGAGTTTAATCTTTCCTGCTTCATTGTTGTTCTACATGGGTTTTTGAATCTCTTTAGCTGTGAAAAGGATCGCTCAGCAGAAACATTTGTTAACATGAAGGTAAGGAAAAAGCGAACTGCAATATAGAAAAACACTATGAAATTTATCTTGAAAAATAACATCATACAATTCAGTCTAAATGAAATCAGAGGTACTTATGAAACTGCTGGAGTTCTCCAACGATGCCCATGCTGAGATCTTCCTGGTAAAAACTGACTAAGGTATGAGAGCCTTTGAAACACTCTTCTTTGCTTAACTGTAGGTTATTGATGAATGAAGACTATGCTGACTCTTCTTTGTAAACTTTACTTCTTCTTTACATTTCAGTTGTCAGTTTGTCAGTTATACTGTAGAATGTAAACACTCAAATGGTTCCCTGACATTTATGTCTTTATTATCTAATAGCAAGAAGATGTTATACAAAAAAAAATTAAAAATATAGCCAATCCTTTCTTTTTTGATAAATCAGTTGAGATTTCAATTGATTTATTATGGCATTGTGGGCAATGTTCAAATAAAATAATAATTGATTTTAAAATGTCTGTGTCAATAAATATAAAAAATGAAGGTAATTCATTTGAATTATTAATTTGTAGATTACTATTAATACTACATTGTGTTACTTTTTAAAAAAATATTGACGTCAAGATTTTAGATTTTGTGTTAGTAAAATTTGTGATTTCCAATTGAGAAGTCAAACTATTTGTATTACATACTGATGTTACTGGAGAAAACTGATTTCCTCTAAAATATGTTTTTTTAAATATAGTGCTACCACCTGATTTCCTTCTTAGATTTGAATCATAATTTCACCTACCGCCTGATTTCCTTCTTAGATTTGAATCATATTACGAGGATTATAGTTTTTCTATAAGTTACAAACCTAAATATAATAATTGTTCCTAGGAATCATGGCTTATTCAGTTTAATAAACGTGAAACAGTTACTGGCAGAAACAGTTATCAAAAGCTAATGTATTTAGTACAAAACTCTAAAACACCTATTTTCCGACATTAACAACCCGTTTCTAAGGCCGTTCATGTAATTGCAGTAATTTAGTAATTGCAAAAAAATTGTAGTAGCTCGTCGTGGTGCCCCTTTCCATGCGGTGACCTAAGCACGTGCCTTGTGTGCGTAATGGTTAATCCGGTACTGGTTTAGGGTAATAAGCAACTTATGATGTAATGAGCAAGTAAAGTATTAAATGGTATTACGATATTACTTTTAGTACGATATTACTTGTAGTAATACGCTCGTTCTTACGATAAAAAGATTGGTATCTGATGATACCAATCTTTTTAACATAATTTTTTTTGAGCATAATGATGTACCATAGAATTTTTTGATGAATAAGATAAATCATTTATATATAATTAAAACAATAACGGTCCGAGAACGAGACCTTGTGGAACGCCATATTTAATAACTAATTGTGCGGATTCACATCCAATAGTTGAAACAAACTGAGTGTGATCCCTAATATATGAAGAAAACCAATGAATAACCGTATCAAAAGTTTTTTGAAGATCTATGATTACACCACAAGCAAAAGAACCACTGTCGATTGCACCACGAATCATTTATGATAAGAGTATGAGAAGTAGAGTGATTTGAGCAAAACCCAAACTGACGAATATGAAAACAAGCAGAATTATCCAAAAAGTTGTAAATACGAGAATACATAAGTTTTTCTAAAAGTTTGCTGACATTTGATAATAATGAAACTAGTCTGTAGTTATCATTCAAGTTTTTAATCTTTTTTATGAATTAGAATAACAGAAGCAGTTTTTAAAATATCAGGGAATGCATCGGTGATGGATGACAGACTAAATAGTTCAAAAAGTACAGGAGTGATATCATTTGCAAGAGCTTTAAAAATAGGTATTGAAATGCTGTTATGTCCCGAAGCCTTGCTGTCATTAAGAGAATGAATAATAGATAATACTTCGTTTTTGTCCGTAGGTTTTATGAATATTGATTTAAGACTAGGATTTTTAAGATATTTATTAAAGTCAGTATTGGATGAGTGAATCTTTTTCTGTAATTCTTTCGAAACTGAAACAAAGAATGAATTAAAAGAATCCAAAATTTTAATAGGGTCGTATATCATGGAATTGTTAGAAAATAAGCAGGAAGGATATGAGTTAACTCACGAACTAATGTTTAAAAGATTCCTAATACCATCCCATATACATTTCAAATTTTTGGCATTATCAGAGAAGAACTTAGAGTAATAGTTCTTTTTACTACTGTTAAAATTTGAAGTTTTATTTGGCGCATTTATGCCAATTCGCACTTATGCTAGTTCGCACTTGAGCTAGTTTTTGTAACTGCTTCGCACTTAAGCTAGTTCGTACTTATGCTAATTTGCACTTATGCCAATGTTTTTAAAATCTTTTGGCGCACTTATGCCAATTCGCACATATGCCAGTTCGCATAGGTGCGAATTGGCATAAGTGCGCCAAATAAAACTTCAAATTTTAACAGTTGTAAAAAGAACCATTACTCTAAGTTCTTCTCTGATACTGCCAAAAATTTGAAATTATGTTTTTGCAACGCTTCGCATTTATGCCAGTTTGCATTTATACCAATGCGCACTTATTCAGCCTCCCGAAGTTTAAGTATAACTTTAAATTATTTTTTTAGAAAGAAATTTCCTCGAACAATAGAAAAAAAACTTTGTTGTTTTTATTTTTTGAAGCAAAAAAAATTACTGGTTTCTATTAGTATTGGAATTTTTTATAAAAACAAATTTTATATATTTTTTAATAGACCGTAAAATCGCTTAAGTTCGGTCACCATGTAACTTTGATCATTTAAGAAAAATTCAAAAAAAGGATGCAAAACTCAAGTTTTACAAATTTTTTATTACTTAAATAATATTTGTAATTAGTTCGTAAATATAAATTTATAAAAAAAATAATTTCTATATGCAACCTGTTGAAATAATTCTCTAGCAAAACAACAATTTAAAAAAATCCTTACTTCTAAAATCTAAAGTAAGCAAATTATCAAAATAAATGATCATATTTAATTATAGTATTATTAAGTATTACCAAATTAGTTATATTTACAAAAAATATATATTAATTTTATAAGATTAACTACTTTTTTTATAAAAGGTAGTGAAATTTTAAAATAATAAGTTGAAATAATTGAATTAATAATTAAAAATTAGTGAAGTTTTGAAACTTCGGTCATTCACGGATAAACAACAAAAGAGACAATTAGCAGTAATATTGTGAAATGTTGATAAGTGTTGCGAATGTAAAATTTAGCTGAAAATTTATATGTAAATTTTGACATTTTAAAAATGGATAGATACCATGTATTTTATTTGAATAAAAAATTTGTTTATAATTAACTAAAATTAAAGTCTAAAATTAACTGGCGATTTTTTTTTTATTTATATACACTTTTGCCGATAAAAAAAA